TCCGAATGCTCAGGGGAATAACCCTGTTCCTCAGAGAAGTCCTCCTGGAGCACAGGTTGAGTAGAGTTTTGTTGGGGGGGAGCATACTGTGGGGCAGGTGGTAAGAAATCCTGCTGCAATCCCTGGGTTAGCCCCTGCTAAATGGCCCTTGCAATAATTGCCTCTAAGGAAGCCGGAAAGCCTACCCTTGTGTGTCAGCCATAGAGCGAAGCTCAGGGCGAAAGGCAGGTGATGGCACAGGACCCTGGACCTCCAGGACTGGAGGTTCTGCCAGTCCAGATTCGGGCAGAGTCCAAAAATATGGTTCACTCCCAGGGGGAAGAAGGGGATCGCATAGAGCAGGGTGATCAGGGGACAATTCCCTCCTGGGCAGCGGAGACGAAGTGGAGTCCTGAGGGGAATGTGGTGGAGGAGGACACAAAATGGCTGCCAGCCGTTGGAGCTGGGCCTTGAGGACAGCCTTCTCTAGAGCCCTATGCCGCCTCATCTCCTTAGAAGGCTTTGCAGTTTTAGCAGCTTTAGCGGCTTTGGAGGCGCCCCCGGCTGAAGGCTTGGCATGGGGTCTCGTAGTGGGAGGGGGGACCCGAAGGACCCTCTCCCGGGTCGCTGGAATGCCTGCGCCGCCCTCCAGTAGATCCCTTTGCCGGGCGGGCTTGCCTCGTGGCGTCCGCCATCTTGGAATGGCCGCCGGAGATGCCAAAAGTAAAATTAACAGTAGTCAACTCCCCCCGCCAACACTTAGCTTGTGAAAATGGCGGTCCTCTGTCCGGGAGGTAGCAGAACTGTCCGGTGTGAATGCAGGCAGCAAGTAGGAGAAATCCCCTTACTGAGTTGCCATGGCGGACCGCTAGCCCTCCAGCAATCAAACGTGGTCAAAAATAGTGCTGCCGATTAGGATCAAAGTCTGTGCGCTGAAGAGGCTGCTGGGCAATAGCCTTTAAAATGCAGCAATCACTCTCGCTCTCGCTGAGGGGAAAAGCTGGGGGCTACAGGATAATTCCAGCTACCCCATTCAAGGATCTGCCAGCCGGCAGTCCCACACCACTGCGCGGCCTTCAGCGGTATCAGGTAAGCACCCTTCACACTGGAAATCAGTCCAAACAGTCACGAAAAAATTTAAAGTTCAAATATCCGAGAGAAATCTAATTAGAAATGTAGTAAGCAGGAAGGAAAGTGGTAAAACAAGGAAGACACGACTGTCAGCCAAGACTGAGTCGAAACACTGAGAGATACAGGCAGAGGGCGGAGTTATTCAAATTTTGCAGACTCGGTCCTATGCTACACAGATGGACATGCCTGCTTCCCATGTCTGACTGCCGTTTCCTTCAGACTAGGAGAATTTAACATTACTTACACCACTCTGCATTAAAATCCCAGTTATATATTTTTAGGATATTTTATTAACAAGTTAATGTAACCAGAGGAATAAATTCATTCAATTTAAAAGAAAGATCAGAATCACTATAATCAAATGGCCCTTGGCTTCTCTTAATGAATTATACTCAACACTTATTAAAATCTTATTTTCTTATTTTCTATTGTAGGTATTTTATTTTAATGGGTGAAAATCTCTGTGATATGTGTCTCAAGGGCAGCATGTGCAAGCTAAATTGCAGAGTAAATTAATAGAACATAGGGCATCAAGTTGTAAATTTCATAATATCCTACATAAAATATGCAAATGTCATATTTGTTGATAAAGCAAGTTGCAAGGATAAGTTATTAATATAGCCTAAGGCAATGATGAGTAATTAATGTTGAAATATTTCATTGGCACCTTTAGTTAGGCCTATTAAAGAACTGGCTGGAAGCTATGGGCAGAACAAAACAGAAACAAAACATCACTAGAGAAAGTTTAAGTAATCTTCCATTGTAGCAACACAATCTGTGAAGCCAGATTGCCAACAAGCTTAGAAACAAACATTCTACAGGTGACATTTACTCCTCATATTATTTATTTACCCTCATCAAAATTACTGTAATTGCAAAATATTTATCTGGATATAAATATTCATATCCAGAAAATAGGAAGGGGGTAGCTGTCAACTTTATTTTTAACTGCTTGTATTTGTACAGGCAAATATTGCCATTCTTCATCAAAATGAACCAAATGCAGAGAGCCTATACAATAATATTTTAGCCATTAGTGAATTATGTTTACAAATAGTCCTCAATTTATGAATGGCCACTTAGCCACCATACAAAGTTACAAAGGACCTTTCCAAGCTACTTATGACCCATTTTTGAAATTCTGATGGCCACCCCCTCAGTCATGATTGCAATTTGGGCGCTTGGCAACCAGCCCACATTTACTGCCACTTATACCATTCTATGGTCATGATTTATTACCTCTTTTTTTGCCTGAAACTAGCATTTACTTCCAGTTTCTGGCAAAAAACGCCTATTGGCTAAAATGGGTTTGCTTAACAACTCCTGTAAAAAAGGTATAAAAGGTGACCATTGTTGTGTAATGATCCCCTTAACAATGATTTATGATTGTAATTTTAGACTCCCTTACAGTGAACCTGTATATTAAATATATTAATAACACTGCACAGTGTTATTCAAGCACCATATTAATCTTTGACTAAAGAAAACTAGGCCGCAATTTTTTCCCCTTGTCAAGGGGAAAAGATTGGTGTTTTTTTTAAAGGACAAACTTTGTGCTAATGGATTTAAATTTATTGCCTGAAGTGAAAAATTACAGTATATTTAGTTATTAAACTGCTGCACAATGGGAATGGAAAGAAGCTTTCAAGACCGAGGTCAAAAATTTTGTATCTGTCTATTAATGATACACATTTCATTCCATAAAGTACTATATCCAGAAAGTATGGTTTGATCTGTCTCAGAGTAATCTTTTGGAGTTAGCTGTTCAGAGGCAGCCAAGAATATGAAATATTTATTTCTTGATATCTTTGGATTAAGCCTTTTTGGAATACGTGCTTAAAACCAAAGTTCAAGGTCCAGGATGATAATTAAGGCTAATTAATAGAAAATGAATGGCTTTACTTTTTTTTTAACATGATTTTCATCAAGTTTTTGCTACTGCCTCACATTCTGTTCTTCTTAGCATCTTATCATGCAACACTGTGTTGTCTGTCCTCTCCAGATCTATTCTTCACCTTGTAGCTCTTATTGCACTAACTGGCATGATCTGGATGATGAGAAAACAATACAGGGAATCATAATGGAGTCTTCCCATCATTGCTCTCTCCTATGTATTCGTTAAATGAATGTTAAATTGAATATGGGGTGCCTCAGGGGTGGGGGAGACCCTAATGCAGACACAAGCCCACTCTCTCGTCTTCCAATGCCTCCCCTCACCCCCTGAGAAACGAACCCCATGCTCTGTTTCCCACCCTTTCAGATCCTGTCACTTGGGCCTTGTCTCCACCCCTGCTATTGATTGTTAATTTATCTTTTGGAAGTTCTCCAGAACTCAAGTTGGGGTACAGAAGGAGCTACAGGCCATTCCATTGCTGGGCCACGTGGCAGAATACCACAAGTGCATTGCAGCCATCACTGGGGGAGTGAAGGCTACCACTAGCAAGAAGAAATCCTGGTGGCTTTTCTTCCCTGCCTAGTCACTAGCCTTCCCTCTCCCAGCATTAGCAATTGAATGCTAATATGCTAATGCTAGGAAAGGGAAGACTAGGGCTAGCAGAGAAAGGAAAGCCAAGAGGGTTTCTCCTTGCTAGTTGCTAGCCTTCTCTACCCCAACATTAGCATATTACGGCTGCTAATGCTGGGAGAGGGAAGGCTAGCAACTATCGAGGAAAGAAAAACCAAGAGCTTTGCCAATGCCTCTTGTGGAACGGCCACTTGTGGAATTCTGCCACAAGTCCCCACAATGAGGTGGCCTGTCCTAATCATCGCTAAGCAACCTATCATAAATCAAGAACTACCTATATTCCAAAATGCACTTTGGGCTCAAAACACTGCATTCACCATTTTATTCTAGATACAAATGATAGACAATATATTTGAACACATACCTATTTCCATGTTTATTCTCAGCTTTACCTAAGAAGCATGTTTATTATATGAAAGATAACTCTTGAAAAATAAGGTTTACTAATATTTTGAACAATTGTTAATAATCATGATCAATAATCATAACATTAGCACAGGATTTACAGATAGTCCTGGACTTACAACTGGTCATTTAATGACCACAATCAAGATGATCTTGGAATAGGTGCTTTAATTCTGGCCCTTGTAAAACATCATGATGGGGACTCCCCTAGTCACATTTTGGGTACTTGGCAATCTGTTCAATCTGACTAGCTGCCAAGTGCCCTGCAATTACATGATTGGCCATTTGCAATCTTCTGATAGTTTACTCCAAAAGTCAATGTGGAAGCCAATAGGGAAGGTTGCAAGTGAGGGATGTTGGATTTGAGGTCTGTTTCCCCAGTGCACCAAGGGATTTTCCCTCACCTCTGTGTAGGGAAGGGAAATCTTCCACACACTGGAGGAACAACCTCAAATCTGGCAAAAATGCCAGTGAACACCAGCATTCTGAAAGGCTCAGAATGCTGGTGTTTATTGTTTGTCCCCTCTGTCAAACTCCTACTGAATGCCAGTGTTTCTGCCACTTCATTCTTGCCACATATTGGGCAAGCTGTGCCAATACAGTTGCCTACACATTTCAGAAGGGAAAATGTTAGCAAACATCAGACCAATAAGATTCTAGTTAGATAAAATGAGATGAAAAGTTAAGGTTTATTATTATTTACCTGTATGCACAACGACACATATTAAAATGAAATTCTGATGCCTCACTCTCAAAAGAAGCAACACCAACCACCAAACAATGTCACCATCCCAAGGATAACAATAATAATATAACAGCAGCAGCACCAAAAATGTCAAGTTATAAAAAAATGACACCAAAATGTATATTAATTATAGTCCACTTTAAATATATAGCGGAAAAGCGTTTTTGTTCCTTTAACAACATAATTCAACGTTTCAAAAAGTAGTATTTCATTTACCTGAGAAATCCTTGTCCTGCAGAGTTTGCAATTTGCTATAGAGTTTGATGATGTTGTCCAGTTTCCTGTTTATTTTCACATCCTGTTTCATGATTGGTACCTGACATATTGGGCAAGCTGTGCCAATACAGTTGCCTACACAAGTTCTGAAAAATATAAACATGATTTCATGTTTATATGAAAAACTACATGTGGGAAAAACTACATCTGGATAACAAACAATTTCTAACACATGGTTAAAGAGATCTTTATCTTAGAAATACATAAGAACAAGACAATTGTTTATAGTACACTTAAAATATTGAAGTCTTCACTGATAGCTTGTATAGGTTGATAGTTTAATACCCAGTCTATGCTCATACATCATACTAAAGTGTAATTTAGAACAAAATGCACAAGTAAGAAAAATTACAGAGAAGACAGTGGCATTAACTTTTGCATGCTCCCTCTTTCTGGACTATAAATTTTACCTTTCTGGTGTTACCAGGATTAACTGAGGCTATCCATAACAAAAAATTTCAAAAAAGCTAACTTCATACTTGCTTAATAATAAATCAAGTACTATCATTACTAAACCAGGTATCCCCATGCTATACCTTTAATGTTTGCTTCTTAAGTGAATATATTTCCATTTATCTTTTAATTTTTATTTTTTTTTCTTTAATCCCATTTTTTATCCTATTCAAAACATTATTTTGAATTTTATTTAGCTTTTAAAGTACAAATAGTCCTCAGCTTACAACAGTTCATGTAGTTACCATTCAATGTTACAATGACACTGAAAAAAGTGAGTTATGACCGTTTTTCACACTTATGACAATTGCAACATCCTCTTGGTCACATGATCAAAGTCAGATGGTTTGTGAGTTGTTCATATTTATGATGATTGCAGTATCCCAGGCTCATGTGGTCTTCTTTTGTGACTTTACAAGCAAAGTCAATGAGGAATCCAGATTCACTTAATAACCATGTTACTAATTTAATAAATGAAATGATTCACTTAACAATAGTGGCAAGAAAAGCCATAAAATGGGGTGGTGAAGAAAAGAGGGGCACCCTGCAGGTCGCAGAGAGTCGCAACTCTCCCGCTTGACCCAGGGCTTCTTCCCTCTCACTCTCGACGAGGAGAAGAGGCAGCCATCAGGGCTGCCACGAAGCTGGGACTGCCGAGGCAACAAAGAAATGTGCAGGAGTGGTGTAGATGAACAGTGACTGGAGCTGGGTGAGAAGATTCCTTTTTTATTTAGACCCTAACCTTAACAGAAAAAAAAAAGAGAGGAAAATCCAGGAAAAGAGACTCTGAGAACTATTTCTTAAAATGGCGAACAACCATAGAGAGAAAAATCCTAGACCCGAAAGAAAGGAACTAAGGGGAGAAAAGCTAAAGACCTTTTAAAACACAGAAAATTGGATTTTTAAACTGGGTAGGCGTTGTTTTGGAAAGGCATTATGAAATGCTGGAACTATTTACTTGAATAGCTGACTTTGTTTCCATAAATTGAACTAAAATTGGATTAATCAATTTATCAAAATGAATTATACCCAGAAGCCACACTGTTCATGTATTGATATTGATGTATATTTAAAAATAAAAATCTAAAAAAACTTTTTTAAAAAAGCTATTGAAGAGTTGCAGCCTTGCAAGTAGATCACCCAGAATTGAAATTCTATTTATCTATAATCTGATGAGGAACTATTTATGAGCACTCTTTGCATTATTTGCAAACCAATTTATTTACTTAACTGGTTTGCTAATCAGCACATCATATCTTTGTCAAGTTTTACTGAAATCAAATTATTATTATACCTACAAAATTCCTATCATCTATTAATAAAGTTTACCAATTGAAGAAATTAAACATGCTAACTGCTGGCAAACATGACTTGCTGCACAGTTTTCGAGATGCTTAGGGAACGATCTCTTTACAGTATATTTTTAATTGCTCCTAATATTTATATCATATATTTTTTTAAAAAAATTATTTTAAAAGGAAGAGAGGAAAAAATATTACATGAAAAGGTTTACAAAATAATGAAAGATAAAACTAAAATAAAGTACAACTATTTCAACTACATCAGTCTACTTTAATCTGGGAAATCCAATCCAAATGAAACTTTTACATGTAGTAGAACCAGCATCATATGCTATATGAACTACTATTTCTAAAGACATGCAAAAAATAATCCAAGTCCTCCTTTAGAGACCACTATTGAGACTGGCAACTCTGTTGCGAAACAAAGTGATTGTTAAGTGGGAAATCAAGTAACAGGGACTGTGCTTTTCAGCTTGAAACTGACAAAAACTAATCAGTTTCATTCCTTCAGCTTTTGTTTGCCTCCTAACCATTTTGAGATAATTAGCAAGAAGGGAATTAATGTTTGTATTTACTCATTGGATAGGAAGGGATTACAAGAAAGTAAGCAGGCACAATAGAGAATATACATTGAAAGCAATGTGGCAAAAAACGGGTCAGGCATAAGAGATTGCCTACAGAAATTGCTTGGGTTTTTTTTTTCCTTCCCCCACGCCTGCCCCCACTTTCACAGAGCAGAGACTGGAGAGGAAGATATGACAAGACAGTAAACAGGGACACAATGAGTAATATATTTGACTGTTTGCATAATGTACTTCCAGCTTCCAGTCCAGAATGGACTGCCAGCACATCCTTTTGATGTGTATTCCCCATTGTGTGTCTACTTATTCTCTTATAATTCCTTTCTCTCCAATCCTCTGGTTTGCAAGGGAAACAACAGGTCAGGCACAGGATAACATGTACTGACTGTAATGACAATCACACGACTGAGGTATGTTGTAAATGCAGCATTAGTTATAAAGTTATTTTTTCAACACTGTCATAAACTTTGAAGGTTCACTGAATGAGGAGAAGGTAAGCAAGGACTACTTGTAGTTTGTACATATAGGCTCTGAGTTTCTAGCATATTATACTGATAGAATGATGTGTGTGTATGTGTGGAATGGAAGGTATTTACCGTAAATGCATAATAAATATGTCAAACCTAACAGAGGCTTAAATAATTTAATTTTTATTTCATCTACAATGATAAAAAGAAGAAAAGCACTAAAGCAAATAAGTGCTTTGCTGAGACAGACAAGTATAGTTACATAAGAAGATATAATCATACTAGCAGCCACATATAAAAAGCAACGTATTATATTTACTTCAGACTAAAATATGATCAAAATAAGCAAATTTGGGAAAAGCTTTATAACAGTTTATTATTTATTTTTCACATTTTTGAACCATTAATCTCCCTTAGAATTATGTCATGACTCACAGACAGAAGATATGTTCACAACTCCCTAGGTTCACAGGTTTCTTCAGAATGTTAGTACTGTCAAGAGAATAAATGGAATTGAGTTATTTCTGTCCTAAATATTAGAATGGATACATTTTCATTGCATCTCCAAGATAAATAATATCAAGATAAACAATCTATGTAAACACTGTTTCTTCTACATAAACATAAAAAAGTATACTAAGAAAAAATGTGTTTGTCTTTCCTACTCAAATAACATCACTCTAGGAAGCTGCCTCCTGGGACATGTTAAGAATTCCACCTCCAATACAGAAAAACATAGCTAGCAGTGCGGTGTCAAGGATGAGCTGCAAATCCCATGGGTGTCTTTTTAGAATCTGGAGGACAGTTTAAGCTTCCCTGTAAAGCTTCTACTTTACAAGTCAGTTTACAATAATTAAAGCTTTGTTTGCTTGCATCAAGGCACATCAAATTCATTAGATTTCTTAACTGTTTGAAATAGATCAGGGATCCTAATCTTCTTTAGGTTGGGAGCACATCTGAAATTTTGAAATCATGTTATGGGCTCACTCATTTGATTGCTATACAAAACACCCATTTGGTAGTGGCAAAGCAACTAAATTATTTGCTACTCCTCCTTCTAACCTCCCACCATATTGAGCAGATGGGCACACTGCCACCAGCCCTTTTTTTTAAAATAACACTACCTTATTATTTTTACTTTTTCAAAATCCTTCAAGGGAATATATAGAATTTAGAAACACTGATGCAAATAAAAATTATGTTTCAGATTGGTACACTGCAGCATATTGTCTTCCTAATTATTAATGAAAAGAATTTGATAAATAAAATCTTGTGAGGCACAGAGACAAGTAGGAACAGAAGGGTCCATAAAATTCACATTAAAGACCCAGAAAGTAAAGCATCTTCTATCTGCTCTCTAACAATCAATAATTAATTACAACATTGTTCAAGTTATTTTTTTGGTAAATTTCAACAGTGTTATACAAATATCAAAGGGGCTTCTGCACAGAGGGAAGCAGACATTAACAGGATGGTTACCTAGCTGCTACTAATTCCAGTGTCTTATAGCATGAGGGAAAACCGAAATGAAGCTGTCTTTAAATGTGCTGATAAGAAGCTACAGGTTCTTGTCTGGTTCTGGAAGGGATGGGTTGCAACCAAAATATCAAGATCCATAGATATTCAGGGCAACTTCGATAACAAGGTTTTAATGGCATGCTACCTTCAACTGTGCAAACCAGTGTTGAAACCCTTTATTCTGCAGCATTACTGTAATTTTGCCACTGAAATATCAGAACCCAAACACAAATGGCATAGAGTATACTCTAGAGGAGGGGTCCCCACCGAAGCCATTAATCTGGCCAGCGCAGGACACGGTTGTCCTGCCCACAGTGCCCCACCTACCTGCCAGCCCCCACCTTCTGGAGGCTGGGGAGGCCAAAAACGGGATGTGCGGAGCCCCCGGGAGGGCAAAAATGGGCCCCTTTTTTGCCTCCCTGGCCTCCAGAGAGAGAGAGAAAAAAAGAGAGGGAGGGGGAAGGGGGAGGGAGGGAGAGAGAGAGAGAGAAACAGAGGTCTTTCATACACACCCCAAGGCAGCCACATCCCTTCAGTAACCTGCTTTCTACCCCCAGGAGCATAACAAATTGAAGTTTAATTTGTGTGTATTGTTTGGACTGCTAAATTGGTCACGCCCACTCAGTCACATGACCACATATCCATGCCCACCCAGCTGGTCCGCCCCCCCCAACAGTTTGATGGACCATGAATTGGCCCCATTTAAAAAGTTTGAGGACCCCTGCTCTAGAGTAACGCCCAGGTCAGCCTTTATAACCTAGCAGTCTAGTTGTTGAGACTGCAATTCCTAATTCATTTGATGTACTCTATATTGAGGAAGTATGACCAGTGCCAACAAAGTAAGTGTTATCTGGGAAATCTATAAGATAGGGAGTCACAACACTGAACATTCTTCCAAAGAAAATCACCCTCTGAATATAAGTGAAAATGTTGATATTTAAGGAATTCCCTAATTTATGGAATAGCATTCAATAATAGTAATCCCATCTACAATTGCAAACTCCTGTTTCAAGGAGAACCACATCTAAAAGGAAAAATTAAAAGAATTTTGTTTGCAAAATTGAGAGCTAATCTGGTGTGGTGGTTGAGACACTGGGCTAGAAACAGGGAGAGCATGACTTCTAGTTCATTTTATGCTAGGGCTCAAGGGAGGAGACAAAGGCAAACCACTTCCAAAAAACCTTGCCATGAAAACTTCAAGGACTTGTCCAGGAGTCAACATTGACTTGAAAAACAAACAAAATCAAACAAACAAAAACATCCCTCATTAATGGTCAGATACATTCTTTGCCACTTGATTTTGTTAAAAATGCCACTTGCCAAACATTTTATATGGAGCCAAAAAAGGCTGGAGTAGATCAATACATACAATGCTGCCTCAAATCATTAATTTCCCTAGCTTTTTGTTAATGAGTTTTACAAGTTTTACACAACTCATTAAATCGGGGGTCTCCAACCATGGGAGTTGGTTCACAAGTCTTAAAGTCGCCAAGGTTGGAAACACATCCGCTAAACAATATGGTCTGTTGACACAGGTTAGTTAGGGGGATCAGTTCTGGGCTGGAAACATCCGCAGGACCACTGACAACAGCAAAGATGACTTAATTTCCAAATCCCTTTTCCCCATCCAAAACCTCTCCGCCATCCCTTCCGCCCTCGTTTTGCTCAGGCATAATCGTTTACCAAAGGGAGCACTTGAAGCACTCGGCCAATCGTCTCAAAGCCAGACGCGTTTCTTTCCAAGGGGTTCCGGACTGCGGGTGTTGCTCCTGCGCCATGTGGCCGGCGGGCTTATTACCGGAATGGCTCCAGAGTACACTGGGTCGCATAATTCTTCCCTTCCCGCTAAATACAGGCCAGAAGACAAACACACCCAGCCCCAAAGAATCGGTTCAAATTGTGCGCTTTGCGATTTACGCAACACGCGCATGTCAGTTACCGAGGGCGCATGCCTGAGATTGTAGAGTGTAAAGATTGATACTCTCAGGGATTGCTCGGTTTAATAGCCCTGCTTGAACCTCTTTTTTTAATTGGCCCCTGCAAATGATAGGGGGAAAAAACCCCGGTGATTTCATCCTTATGGCAATTCTAATCCCAGTTTAGTTAACGGAAGAAAGAGTCAAGAAGTCGCATTAAGTAGCTCTATGGCGCATTAGGCGTGAAGCATTTGCAACAAGCCTTTCATCCGTCCTTCGGCACCAAAAAGCCCTACCAAGAGAAAGTTCCCGGATCTAGGGAAAATTTTGCGTTTGTGCGCATGCGTATGTTATGACGCTAACGTCTCTGTTTGATACGAGCTCTGCGATCTTTTTCCCCTTGTTCATATAGGGATTTATAGGGAAGGAGGTTTGCTAAATGAAGTGTGCACGTATGCATACCCATGTGACTGTTTTTCCAGTATAATTTCGTTTATTGTTGTGAAACTGAATATCGCAGTAGTAACAGATTAACAGAGTTGGAAGGGACCTTGTAGGTCATCTAGTCCAACCCCCCCACACCCCCCACCCAAGCAGGAGACCTTAAACCATTTTTGACAAATGGCAGTCCAATCTCCTCTTTTTTTGAAAAAAGTTTTTTATTTTTATTTCTTATACACATATTGTAAATGTACATTCTCTTATCCATAATTAATCATATATATACATATTTTTTCTAACGAAAGCATAAAAATAAGACCTTTTTGTAGCGTCTGCACCCTGTCCTGACAACAGAGACACTGCTTCCTGATTGGCCAATACTATTGTTTACGCGGGAGTCTCCGCACCTGGTTGGTTAGAGGCGTCTGACAACCACGCGGTTCTGGCACTGAGAGTGAGTGAGTTCTTGTTAGTTAATAAAGAGTTGCCTTGCAGTCCGTGTCGCCTCAGTCATTGCCTCCGCTCGCAATATAATACTGGCGACGAAGGTGGGATACTGGGGCGCATGGTCAGTGTAGTCCGGAGCAGAAGGGCTACACAGAGAGCGTTGGATGAGGCGTCGCCATCTATGAACTCCAGGATACTGACTTGTCCAGTGGATGTAAAAGGGCACATTTTCTGAATTCATGTGGGCCAGAAGTTTTCGCGACAGCTAGAGCTTTAGTTGCCCCTCAGCCAGTCCATACAGTTGCCTGGGAAGTTCTGAGGGAAAAATTGAAGAGCCACTATTCACCAGTCCCGTCCCGTATAGCCTGCCGTTTCAACTTGAGGCAAATATTGCAAGAGGAGGGAGAACCAATTAACTGGCACATGGCTTGCCTCAGGACTGCTGCCCTCGACTGCGAGTTCAGGGACCTAGAGGATGCCCTGGTGGAGCAGCTCATCTGTGGGGTACGGGACATTAGACTACAGAGATGGCTGTTAGCCAAGAAGAGTTTAGATCTTCAAACAATAGAAAAATCATCTTGTATTTCTCAGTAGAATCCATTCTTTAACCCAAGTTAACATCGCCACTTGGTGATAAAGTTCCCAATTTGGTAGACCAAAACCTCCTCTAGTCCTAGCATCTTGAAGCAGTTTAATATTAATTCTTGCTTTCTTTCCTTGCCATATATATTTCCACATCATTTTATTCAAACTTTATCAGAATTGTTTGAAAAAAGAACAAAATTCTTGATAGTACATTAATTTTGATTAGTGCTATTCTTCCCATTAATGATAGTTGTAGATTTTTCCATTTTTCCAAGTCTATTTCAATTTGATTTCTCAGTTTATAGTAGTTATCTTCCTTCACTGTGATACATCTTGAGGTTAATTGGATGCCCAAGCATTTCACTTTCTTCACTATTTGAATATCTAACTTCTCTGTTAATTGCTTTTTTTGTTTTTCTCTCATATTTTTAACTATAATTTTTGTTTTATCTTTATTTATTTTCAATCCATCTACTTCTCCATACTCCTCTATTTGCTTCATTAGCTTTGGACCCGTTTCTATTGGTTCCTCCATAATAAATACTAAGTCATCTGCAAATGCTTGTAGCTTGTATTTTCCTCTTTTAATTTTCATTCCTTTTATTTCTTTATCTTGCCTGATTGTTCTGTTTAAAATTTCTAGCATCAAGATAAATAACAAGGGAGATAACAGACATCCTTGTCTAGTTCCTTTTCTTTCTTTTTTTTTTCTATTTTTTTTTATTGAAAAAGTTTTCAAATACAGATTTTTCCCGCTTTTCCCCCCTCTCCCTCCCCCTCCCTAACCCCCCCTCCCCACCCCACCCATCCCCCCCTGTGACTTCTTCATAACAAAAAAAACCTAATTCATAACAGATTACTTACTCCCTCCTCTAGATATTGACCTTTACTTACTAAAAATATTATTAATATTATAACATCCCCCTTTATCCATACATTTCAGAAAAGAGAAAAGAAAGGAAAAAAAGGGGGGAAAAAAAGGACATTATACTATAACATTATAAAATAACTTCTCCACTTTAAAACTATACAATAAGTCCTACTTTAACATTTAATCTTCTATGTATATTACTATAACATTTCATAGCAGCCTTCCCCATCAAATCTAGTTTAACATTTATTCCACTCTATCCATTTCCTCCACTCCCCTAAATATATCACTTAAAAATCCCTTTTCTTAGACTAATCAATCTACTAAGTAGCTTATTCACCCACTATCATGCAAAATTACCATACACATTTCTTAATATCTTTAATTCACTGCCCACACTACTTAAAAATATATGTCTATATTTTCCATTATATCTAAATAAAAAAAAAAGAAAAGACAATAACTTTAAATTTATAATCCATATAATATCTTCTTTAAGGTCTTTCCACTGGATTGGTAGAACCAACATCCATAATCGGGTAACATAGCTTGCTGGTGCAACAGTTTATTCAAGATCTTCAATCATATCTGCCCCCATCAGTAGTAAATATCTTCTTATATATATAAAAGTAAAAACAACCACCCGAGTGACATTATAATTATATTCCATATAGTAATAATTGTGGGTTTCATCAGGATTATAAATTCCCGTCATCGTAGTGGGTAACAACCCGATCTTCTGCATGCCCCAGCATAATTCTCTTGCCTTGTAATTCGAGATAATATAATATATTTATCAACACAAAAAAAAAATTCCAAAATGGATAATTCAAATCCATCAGTTTAAGGCTCATTTCACGTCCCCAAATTACGGCCATGCAGAGATCTGCCACAATCTTCAGGATGATATTAACCAATACATCGCCTCTTCTGTGTTTACACATAATCATTCATATTTTAAAGTCACTGGCTTCACTGTTGCCTGATTTAGAAATTTCTATTTTTATGCCACCTATTTCTTTTTTCCTTTACTTTTTGTGGGTTTGGTTTCCATCCTGGTTTCTTTTCTACAAATTGTGTATCATCTGGTCGGATTTTGTTCTGCTTTGTAGATTGGTCTTGTTGGTTTTGTATTTGTATCTCATATTTCTTTTTTATCCCTTGTATTTCCCTAATTGGTTTCCATGCTTGTCCTTGCCTTGATAAGTCATCACATTAAGGTTAGATGCCACTTCTCTCAGATTTATAGATAGTCCAGCTGGGGTATCCGATGAAACCAAAGGCAATTCATCTGGTACAGTCTCTATATTTCGATATTTTACCTTTATTTCCGGCTCCTTCTGCTTATTGTGTATTATACCTGAAGATGTTAAGTTCATTTTCAACCTATTTTGATAAAATTCTTCCGCTCTTTCAACAGTGTTTAGCTGATATCTTTCTCCTTGATATCTAAATATAATACCAACTGGGGCGTCCCACCTGAATGAGATATTTCTCTTTTTTAACTCATTCACCAAAAAACCAAATTTCTTCCTTTCCATCAATATCTTAGGTGGGAGTTCCTTATAAATCCAAATCTTTCTTCCATGCAGTTGCAACTTAGAATTGAAGGAATTTTGCACGATGTTATTCCTAATTTCTTTATCTATAAAATAAATCACCACATCTCTAGGCAATTGCCTTTGCTTGGCAATCCAAGAGTTGATTCGATAAACTCTGTCAATCCTACTAAACACTTCATCAGGTTGAACCTTTAGAATCCCAGCTAGAAATTCAGAAGATATTTTCCTTAAATCATCTCTATTATTTTCCTGCAAACCTCTTAATCTTATCGCATATTCTGTAAAATTATATTGTACCATTAAAATCTCTTTTTCAATCTTCTGTTGCAGATTTTCTGCATTACCATACTTTTGATCAGCATTCATTTTAGGTTTTTCTTCTAAGCTATTATCCTGAATGTTTATCAAGTCATTTTCAATTTTTTGGATTCTATTGTCCAATTTATCTTGAGTTCCTTCCATTTTAGACTCTAGTACATTAGTATTTGTGTCCAACCGCATCATAAATTCTGTAAAACCATTAGCCATTTTTGAGAATTTTTTCTCCAAAACATCAAACTTAGATTTCACCAATTCTTTAATTTCCTGCTTAAATTTTTCAAATTGCTGATTCACAATCTCCTCCCTTCTTTCAATCTCTTCTATAAAAAATTCTATTATATTAAAATCAGGTTTCTCAGACTGAAGAGTTAAAACTTGTTCCTTTAAGTTGCTGGTGGGGGAATCCCCCCCCTTCTTGTTTATCTGACTTTATGAGTCTCAGTGCCATGTTTCCGCCCAGGCAGACTTTGTTAAAAAAAAAAAAAAGCAAGAAAAACTTCTTTCCAATCAACAACAATATCAGGTCTCTAAGGGAGAGAAAAAGAGAAAAAAAAACACAGGAGCGAAGTTTTGTCTACAAATGTAGCCAGTGGTATTTATTCCGCTACATTGTAATAATAAAAAACGGAAGGACTTTCCCTTTCAGCCTCTCCTCCAGCCGACGCCATTTTAAAAGGCTTTTTTTCCTCTTTCTTTTCCTCCTCTCTCTTAAGTAATTTCTTTTAAAAATTCAGTAAAATACTTGCGGTTCAGTATTACAGGTCCAGCTCACATTTTCTTTGAGTAGTCTGTTAAATTTACAGGCTCGCTTTTGACGCCTAGCTCTGCATCAGCAGAGGTCTCCCAAAGCCCGGAGCAGCGGCTGGGGATACGGGGCATCTCATCCGCTCCGTCCCAAAAGTAAAAAAAAAACTTTTGGGACTCCGCAGAGAGTTCTACCCACCCCTGCCGGCTCTATCTCCGTTTCCTCATGGAAACGGAGTTTTTTCGAGCCGCCATTCCGTTGTGAAGGCGGCTCTGACAGGCGATGGAAGCTGACGATCCCAAA